GATTCTCAGGAATAGGATTTACTCACATTTGGAAAAATTTGGACTTATTAGCAGTAGGCAGCATGGTGTTTTGCGGGGATTATCATGTCTCACAAACTTGATTGAGTTTTTTGTGGAAGTAACAAAGATGATTATGAGGGCAGGGCGATAGATGTTGTCTATATGGACTTTAGCAAGACTTTGACAAGGTCGCCCCATGGCAGGATGATACAAAAGATGAAGTCACAGGGGATCTGCAATGAACTGCTAAGATGGATACAGAACTGGCTGAATCAGAGAGGACAGAGTAGCAGTGGGAGAGTGTTTTGCTGATTGGAGATCTGTGACTGTGGTGTTCTGCAGGAATAAGTACTGGGATCCCTGTTGTTTGTAATATGCATAAATAGTTTGGAAGAGAATGTAGGTGGTCTGATTAATAAGTTTGTGGATGACACAAAGACTGGGTGAGCTGCAGATAATGAGGAGGATTGCCAGGGTATACAGCAGGATATGGAGGCTGAGGCAAAGAAATGGCAGATGGAATTTAATCCAGACAAATGTGAGGTGATGCATTTCAGAAGATCTAATACAGGAGGGAAGTGAACAATAAGTGGCACAACATAGAGAGGGATCCACAAGGCCATAGTTCCCTGAAAGTGACAACACAAGTGGATCAGAGATAGTAGGAACTGCAGATGCTGGAGAATCCCAGACAACAAGGTGCAGAGCTGGATGAACACAGCAGGCCAAGCAGCATCATAGGAGCAGAAAGGCTGACGTTTCGGGCCTAGACCCTTCACCAGAAAACTGGTCAAGAAGGCATATAGCATGCTTACCTTCATCAGTTGGGGCATAGAGCATAAAAATTGGTCAGTCATGTTGCAGCTGTATAGAACTTTAGTTAGGCCACATTTGGAATATTGTGTACAGTTCTGGTCACCACACTACCAGAAGGATGTGAAGGTTTTAGAATGGGTACAGAAAAAGTTTATCAAGATATCACCTGGTTTGGCAGGTATTAGTTATGAGGAGAGAGTGGACAAACTTGGTTTGTTTCACTTGAATGCTGAAGGACAAGGGGCGACCTAATATAAGTTTACAAAATGATGAAAGGCATAGATAGAGTGGACTGTTAGAGTCTTTTTCCCAGGGTGGAAATGTCAAATACCACAGGACATAGGTTTAAGGGAAAATTTTAAAGATGTGAGAGGCAAGTTTCTTACACAGAGGGTGGTAAGTGCCTGGAATGTGCAGCCAGAGGGGATAGTGGGGGTAGGTACAACAGCAATGTTTAAGATGCATCTTGACAGATACATGATTAGGCAGGGAATAGAGGCAAAAGGTCTTTAGTTTGGAGAAGCATCATGTGTCGGCACAGACTTGTTGGGCCGAAGGGCTTGTTGCCGTGCTGTACTGCAATTTGTTCTTTGAAACCTATGAACTTGTAACAGGATTCAACAGGATAAAGGTAGGAAGGATGTTCCGATGACTGAGGAATCCAGAACCGGGAGGGCACAGTTTAGAAATGTGGATAGGCCATTTAGGACTGAGATGAGGAGAAATGTCTTTACCCAGAGAGTGGTCAGCCTGTGAAATTCTCTACCATAGAAAGTGGTTGAGGCCAAAACATTGAATGTTTTCAAGAAGTTAGATTCAGTTCTTGGAGCTAAAAGGGATCAAAGGTTATGGGAGAAAGTAAGAACAGGGGACTGAGATGGATGATCAGTCAAGATCATATTGAATAATGGGATAGGATTGCGGGCTGAATGGTCTACACCTCATCCTGTTTTCTATTTTTTTTTATATTTCTTGCATCTTTTCAACTCCCATCCCATATTCAAGCCATTGCCTCAACCTTGCCATCTCTTGTGGCTTCTCTACCCAAGATGTCTATCAAGCAGAGGGGACATCTTTGACCAACTCCAGTATTCACATTATCCCCTTCCAACCCTATTCCCCTTTATTTCATACAAATGTGCAATCATATGGATTTGGAGCTGGGGTCAGCAACACAGCCTCTCGAGCGTGGTGCACCTGTACAGAGGAAAGTAGGAGCCAAATCCAAAGCAGGCCATTCAGCCCCTTAAACCTGTCCCGCCATTCAATTAGATCATAGTGGATCTGTGGCCTAATTCCATATAACTGCCTTTGGCCCATGTCCCTTCACACCTTTGATGAACCAAAATTTATCTATCACAGATTTAAAATTCAAATTGATCATGGCTGATCCAATCACAGCCTGCCCCCAGTAATCTTTCAGCCCCTCGCTTACTCAAAAGCTATCTTCTTCTGCTTTAAAAAGAGACTTAAACTCTGCTTCAACCACCTGTTGAGGCAGGAAGTTCCAAAGACTGTTAACCCTGTATGAGAAAAAAATCTCCCTATCTAGCTTGCATTCTGACCCCTTATTTTTGAACAGAGATTCCTAGCTCTAGATTCTTTGGATATTCCTGTCTCATTCCCCTGAGTCAATTATTAAATCCTAACCGTTGAACCTCTGGTCTTCCATTTATCACAAAAGTTCCTTAGCCATCAAACTGATTAGCCATTCCCTCATCCCAACTTTAGTGACAGGAAGCTTTCTTCCTTAATGTTGATCCAATGGCTTGAGTTTCCTCAAGGACAAGCCATGAAGAATATCAGTGAAGGGGCTTGTTTAGGCATCTGCCAGAGTCATAGAATCATAGACATCTACAGCACCAAAAAAGGCCCTTTGGCCCATCTTGCCTGTACTGGTCCAGAGTATCTGGATGGACAATATCAAATATTGCTGGAACTCCTTCTCTGTACAAAAAGCTATTCACTACACCAAGATCCTGGAGCATAGCAAGTGTAAAAGGAGACATTTGGCCCAACTTGCCAGTACTGACCCTCTGAAGGAGCAATTCAACTTGTTCCCTAACCCTGACTTTTCCCCTTAACCCTTCAAATTCCACATTTGCCATGGTGGGATTTGAACCCTTGTTCCCAGGATGTTAGCCTGGGGCTGTAGATTACTAACCCAAGGTCAGCCCTACAACTCTACATTGTTTCCATCATAGCATTTGTCCATTTCTCCCTCTGTTATATTACTCATTGCCTGAAGATAATGACAGCTCCAGACCTCATCCATACTGGGAGCAAAAACGTGCTGAAATGGGACGGTGGCTCTATCTGCAGCATTCAGAATGTTGGTCAGAATGTTACAGGTATGAACGCCCATGCCAGTGAGTTGAGAACAAATATAGAAGCTGGCAAGGATCCTGACAAAGGGTTTCGACCCGAAACATTGACTTCCCTGCTCCTTGAATGCTGTCTGACCTGCTGTGCTTTTCCAGCTCCATGTTTATTGAGCAGAAATGGGGTGCTGCATTGTTGAAGGTGTTACCTTTTAGATGAGATGTTAAAACAGAGCCATGCCTACCACTTCATGTGCATGTAAGAGGCAAGGTGGGTTCTCCCTAGACTTCTGTCCTATATTTATCTGACAATCAAAATAGCTGTTTCTGGTATCTTGCTGTGCACAGATTACCGGCTGTGTTTTCAACATTACAACAGTGGCAACATTTCAAAAAGCGCTTCATTGGCTGAGAAGGGCCATCCTGAGACCTTAAAAGGTGCTACGTTAATGCAAGTCTTTCTTTATTGTTCCCACTTCATTTTAACTGAATAGTGTTTCACTGCTTCCCATGTTGCAGTACTTAGCATTGCTAACTCATGGCGCCAGGGACCCAGGTTTGATTCTGCCCTCGGGTGACTATCTGTGAGGAGTTTGCACATTCTTCCTCTGTCTGCGTGGGTTTCCTCCGGGTGCTCCGGTTTCCTCCCACAGCCCAAAGATATGCAAGTTTGGTGGGTTGGGTGTGCTAAATTACTCTGTAGTTTCCACGGATGTGCAGGATAAGTGGATTAGCCATGGGAAATACAGGGTTACCGGGTGGGCTGCTCTTTGGAAGATTGGTGTGGACTTGATGGGCTGGATAGCCTGTTCACACGCTGTTCGATTATGGATGATATGTTTCTCAACCCCATTCTCCAGCCTTTTCTCTGTAACCCTTGATCCCCTTACTAATCAAGAACATATCAATCTCTGCCTTAAATACACTCTGTGACTTGGCCTCCATAGTCTTAGGCAGCAATGGGTTCACCACCCTCTGGCTAAGAAATTCCTTCTCACCTCAGTTCTTAAAGAGTCATCCCTTCACCCTGAGGCTGTATCCTCAGGTCCTAGTCTCTCCTAATAGTGGAAACAGCATCTCCATGTCCACTATAACCAGGCCTCTCAGTATTCTGTAAGTTTTATTGAGAACCCCCCTCATCCTGCTAAACTCCATCGAGTATAGACCCAAGGTCCTCAACCGCTTCTTATATGACAAGTCTTTCATTGCCAAGATCATTCTCATTAACCTTTTCTGGACTTCTTCCATTCGCAGTACATCCTTCCTTAGATATGGGGCCCAAAACCACTCACAATATTCCAAATGCGGTCTGACCAGAGCCTTATACAGCCTCAGCAGTCCATCTCTGTTCTTGAATTCTAGCCTTCTTGGAATGAATGCTAACATTGCATTTACTTTCCTAAATGCCAACTGAACCTGTACGTTTGTCTTAAGAGAATCCTGAACCAGCACTCTTTGTGCTTCAGATTTCTGAAACCTTTACCAATTATAAAATAGTCTACGCCTCTATTCTTCACACCAAAGTTCATAACCTCACAATTTCCCATTTTATATTCCATCTGCCAATTCTTTGCTCACTCTCCTAGTCTGTCCAAGTCCTTCTGCTACTTTCTCAACACTATCTGCCCCTCTACCTATTTTTGCATAATCGGAAAACTTAGCAACAATAACCTCAGTTCCTTTGCCCAGATCGTTAATGAATAATGTGAGTAGTTGTGGTCCCAACACTGACCCCTCCAGAACTCCACTAGTCACCAGTAGCCAACCTGAAAAAGACCCCTTTATCCACACTCTCTGCCTTCTGTTAGTCAGCCAATCCTCTCTCCATGCCAGTACCTTGCCCCTAACACCATGGGTTCTTACCTTATTTAGCAGCGTCCTGTGTAGCACCTTGTCAAAGGCCTTCTGGAAATCCAAATAGATCACACCCATGGGCTCTTCTTTATGTAACTTGCTTGCTACCTCCTCAAAGAATTCTAACAGATTTGTCAGTTTGTTACACTGTGGATTAAAATCTGAAAGAGCTGGATCATGTTTGGCAGTAACTGTGGAGGGTGAAAGTTGATTAATGTTTTGAGTCCTGTATGACACTGTCAGAAATCAGACTGCTGAGTCTCTCCAGTAACATTCTGGTTTAATCCACAATGGAACAAGCTACTGAAAACAAACAGTCATGGGCCTGTCACTTTAAATCTGTTTTGAATTCAGATCTCTGGCATTCACAGTATTTTACTTTTGCTCTGAGTGACTGTCCTCGGGGAAAGATTGTATCTTAGAAACAAATGGTGTTCTTTACCTCAGCAGATGCTGTAAACATGCTTCAGCTACACAACAACAGCAAAAACATGAGCTCACCCAGTGTCACAACACTTTCCAGACCTTCAGCCAGCAATGAAAGACAGGATTTCCGCATTTCAGAGTCTCTGTGCCATCTCACAGAAGCTGCCAAGGATCTGGATAGCATTGAAAATTCATTGACTCTTCAGTGGGATTGAGCAAGTTCCTGGTGACTCATATATTAACTATGTTGACGAGGCAATTCCATCTGTGCAGATGAGAAAACAAAGTTGATTTTGGTGATAAAGATAACAGAACTCCAGCGCTGTTGTAAACAGGGGTTGAATTCCCCGCAGAAATCAGAAAACGGTTTGAGTCTCACAGTTGGATGTACGTGCTCAGGGAGCAGAGCTGAAGATTTCAGTATTTGTCCAGCCTTTCTTTTACTGACTGTGGCAAAACTTTGACATCCACTTTTTTTTATTTCACAGAATCTTGCCTTTTGCTTCCCATTGTCATGTCTTCTCCAGCCAGAGCTGGTTCCCATGAGGAATTTGTCTGTGCCGTCTGCCAGGATCTGTTCAGTGACCCAGCCACCATCCCATGTGGGCACAGTTTCTGCCTGCCTTGTATTGCCAGCTACTGGGAGCTGTGCTCTGGCACAAGGGAGGTTAGCTGCCCTCAGTGCCTACGCACCTTCACTCCCAAACCCACACTGCAAAAGAACCTCACTTTGTGTGAAGTACTGGAAGACCTCCGAGCCAGTGGCGAGATCTCAGCTGGCTCTCGTCTGGCTGGGCCAGGGGATGTCACCTGCGATGTCTGCACCAAGACCAAGACGAAAGGCAGGAAAAGTTGCTTGCACTGCCTGCTCACATACTGTGGGTACCACTTGCAGCCTCACCACCACGACCCAGTTTTGAGAGACCACATCCTGGTTGACCCACTCAAGCACCTCCATGCCCAGCGAGACTGTGCAGCTCATGGGGAGCCCTTGGACTGGTTCTGTTGGACAGATGGGGAGAATATTTGCAGGTACTGTGCTGTGGAGCAACACACAATCCATGAAGTGGTGACTGTGCCAGAGGAAGTGGCTCAACAACAGGTAAGGTGACTTTTTGAGGTGGGAAAGAAATAATTTATAGTGAGAATGGTCTGCAACTCCATTGCTTAGACTTATCTTTGAAAATTAAATTTTTTGGACATAATTTAAGCAAAGCCTTTGTCAAGGTCCCAAATAGGAGACTGATAATGAAAGTGAATACAGGTTAATTAGGCAAGGTATCTCCGAAATTGATTTGGTGATAGGAAACAGAGGATGATGGTAGAAGGCTGTTTGTGTGACTGGAGCCCAGTGTGCAGTGGTGTACCACAGGGATCAGTGCTGGGTCCCTTATTGTTTGTGATATTCATAAATGATGGAGATGAGAATGTGGGGAAGGGAGATGACAAGTAAGTTTGTGGATGAGGCAAAGATTGGCCAGGTGGTTGACAATGAGAGGGAAGGTATTAGGTAACAGGAGGATAAAAATGGATTGGTCAGATGGGCAGATCATGGCAGATGGAATGTAACCCTGAAAATGTAACAAGGTGGGGGATTACTCAATGAATGGCAGGATAACAGGAAACTCAGAGGAGCAGAGGGATCTTGGGGTGTACAGATCGCTGAAGGCAACACAACAGGTTAATTGGGTAGTTAAGATGGCATGCAGCACATTGCCATGACATTGATTATAAGAGCATGGACATTTATTTGGAGCTGTACAGAACTTTGTTAGCCCAAAGCTGGAGTACTGTGTGCAGTTCTGGTCCCCACACTATAGGAAGGATGTGATTGCACTGGAGAGAGTACAGAGGGATTTATCAGGATGCACCCTGCGATTAGAGCATTTCCATTATGGAGAGAGGCTGGATAAGTTTAGATTGTTTTCTTTAGAACAGAGAGGGCTGAGAGGGGAGCTGACAGAGGTGTATAATGAGGTTATTAAGGGGCATTGACAAGGTAAGTAGGGAACTATCTGGTCCCTTTAGCTGAAGGATCAATAACAAGGGGCATAATTTTAAAGTGAAAGGCTTAGAGGGGATGTGAGGAAACTGTTTTCTCCAGAGGGTGGAGGAGGAGTCTGGAATGTTCTGCCCTGGGAGGGTAGTTGATGATGGAAACCTCACAACTTTTAAAAAGTATGTAGGTGAACACTTGAAGTGTCATAACATTCAAGGCTATGGACCTAGTTTGGGAAAATGGCAATAGTGTAGATTTATAGTCTTTTATTGTTGGCGCAGACTTGATAAGCTGAAAGGCCTCTTCTGTACAGTATAGTTATCTGATTGTCTGTTATGACAGGTCTATGGGGCAGGTGGGACTATGAACCTAGGCATTCTAGTCCACTGATAAAATGCAAGAGACGGCAAGTAAGCGGGAGAATATAAATTTAGGCTTTAAACTGGGAAGTAAGACGTTCATGCCGAACTTTGTGGGGAGAATCTCAGCCATTATTTGAAGTCTAGTAAAGAAATGTATAAGTTTGCACTCGCCCTCCCAAAATTTGAGTGAAAGGATTTGGAGGTACTCTTCATTTGAGAAAATAGCAAGACAAATGAATTGGGCAAGAGAGGACTTGATATTGTTCATGGAACAGTAGGTTGACAGGTACAACACAGGAAATTTGTGCTTCACTGTCAAAGGACTTTTCTCAGGATTAGGATGATGTAAAAAGAAACTAAATTGGGCGAAACATCTCGGTAAAGGATCCAGAATATAAGGAAGCCACCTGGGCAAACTTATGTTGAATTCAAGAAAGTTAAACAGAGTAATTTGACAAATGGATATGAGCATTAGAAGCTGAAACCGTGTATGAATCTCTTAGACATTATTCCTTCGAAGGAATTTAAAACCCACAAAAATTGTTGCTGCTTCTTCAACTCTTTGAAGTCTGACCTATGCCGAGACATCAGAATCAGATCAAAATGTCTGATTGTGTGTCATGCACTGATATTGTAAATTCTTCATTAACTGTATGTGATTTTGTTTCAGAAACTGATTCAATATAACTCGTCTACCCTGAAACGAAAGCTGCAAAAGACATTGGCAGAGACCAGCGACCTCCAGCTGAAAGTTGATTCAGTCAAAGTAAGCTGTTTGTGTTGTAAGGCTGTCAGTCACTCTCTCAGATCAAGAGCTTTAATGCTAATGTCCCCTTCTATTCTCACTACCTGTCTGCAACCAAATTGTGATTTGACCTTTCCCCTTTATGAACAATGGAGGTGTATTTCCCCAATATTCTCTTTGTGAGATCTGAGTTCGCAAGAATTGCCACAACGCTGTTAACACCAGAATTAGGATTTAGTTCACAAACTCATTGACACAGACGGAATGCTTTGCAATGCATACAAACATACATTGACTGATCAGAGCTGGAAAGGGAGACTATTGCAACGAGTAGCAACTTCTGCAACAAAGAAAACAAACCGAAGGAAAGCAGTTTAACTGCAGCCTTCAATACAAGGAAATGAGTTACTGTGCACTTTCCCTGCCATTACAAACATTAGATGATTTTTAACATCTCGGTAAAGGATTCAGAAGATAAGTTTTAAAGGTGGAGTCCAGAAGACTAAAGTTGGAATTGGCAATCTGCAATTCCTTTGTTGGGCATGGTTGGATTAGCCTGTAGTTAAGGAGTCGGTGACAGTTTCCTCTCTTTGAAAACTTTATCAAGGGACTTTTGAGTTGCAAGTTCTGCTGAAATGCAACTTCTACTTCATTTGATGTAAGTTTCATTTGCGGAGCAGATATATGGGTTGTGGCTGTTTCTCACAGGCCAGAGGCTTTGCCTTTGTAGGCTGGAGATCAGATGTTGATATTCACTGACCTCTTTACTACCTGCTGCGTCAAAAATCATAAATGCAAAAAGCCATAGGGTTCAATATTTTCAGAGTCATGAGACTAAGTGCCAGTAGGTAGGAGAAGCACTCACCCTCAAAACAAATTGCAGATAGCCAGCTGTCCATGGTCCATTCTAGGGCTTAAGTTTAAAGCCATTAATACATCTCGCAAAATGGAGTGGACTTGCAATTCTATTTAGTCAGGGTTTTTTTATAGGAACAAACATTTTCGTACGTACAAGTGTATGAACTAGGAACTGAAGTAGGTTGTTCGGCCCCCTCAAGCCTGCTCTGCCGTTCAATAAGGACGTGGCTGCTTGTGTTTTGAATTCCACATTCCCATCTACCCTCCCAATGACCTTTGCTTTCTTTGTCAAGCAAGAATCTATCTCCGCCTTAAAAATAGTCAAGGATTCCACCTCCACCACGTTCTGAGGTAGAGAGTGCAGTTACATCACCCAGAAATTTACCCGCATACTCCTTAAACCTTATGTCCACAAAATCTTTTATTCATCTTACTCCATCATTGTCTACCATGCCAACAGCTGCCGAGGCCCTAAAATCTGGAAATCCCTCTCTGTCTCTTTATCTCTTTCTCTCCCATCCTCACAGCGCCTGCCTCTCTTGGAGTGAAATTCAATTTGATGACACTTCTGCTAACTGCTTTGGATTGCTTCGCTGTATTAAGGGTGCAGCGTAAACACGGACCATTATTGCTGAAGACCTTAGGGGAGGCAATGGCCTAGTGGTATTATCACTGGACTGTTAATCCAGAAACCCAGATAATGTTCTGGGGACCTATGTTCTAATCCCACCATGGCAGATGGTGGAATTTAAATTCAATAAATATGTGGAATTAAGGGTCTAAGGATGGCCATGAATCCATTGTTGATTGTTGGGGAAAAACCCATGTGCTTCACTAATGTTGTTGAGGAAAGGAAACTGCCATCCTTACCAGGTCTGGTCCGCATGTGACTCCAGACCCACAGTAATGTGGTTGACTCTTAACTGCGGATGGATAATAAATGCTGACCTAGTCAGTGATGCCCTCATCTTGTGAAAGGATGAGGAAAAAGCTCAATAAGATCATTGTTTAATATTCTATAACGAAGGGAAAACGAACCCAGTCTGTGCATTCTGTCCTCAAGCTGAATAATTGTTGACTTTCTTTGTTGTTAATAGAATTTGTCACAGGAGGTGAGAACTGAGATCACCCAGAAATTCACAGCCATGGTCAAACTTATCGAAGAAGCCAACAAAGAAGCGATTGGTCAGATTAATAACGATGAGCAAGCGATGCTGGGCCAGGCCAAGAGTATAAGGGCCCAGTTGCAGCAGAGGTGTACTGAGCTCACTACTCGTGAACATCAACTGAGAACCCTGCTGAAGATCGATGACAACCTGATATTTCTGCAGGTACAAAGTATAAACACTCTTGTAATAAAAATGTTAAAAATCATTTAATGTTTATAATGGCAGGGAAAAGTGCACAGGAACTTGTTGTCTTCTACTGAAGGCTGCGGTTAAATCATTCCCTTTACTCATTCACAGGATGAGGGTGTCGCTGGCTAGGCAGCATTTATTGGCCATCCCTAATTGCCCAGAGGGTAGTTAAGAGTCAACCACATTGCTGTGGGTCTGGAGTCACATGTAGGCCAGATCAGGTAAGGATGGCAGTTTCCTTCCCTAAAGGACATTAGTGAACCAGATGGGTTTTCCCCAACAATTGACAATGGATTCACGGTCATCATTAGATTCTTAATTCTAGATATTTTATTGAATTCAAATTCCCCCATCTGCCATGGAGGGATTTGAACCCAGGTCCCAGAACATGATCTGGATGTCTGGATTAACAGTCCAGCGATAATACCACTAGGCCATCACCTTCCCAAGGTTAAGAGTCCGCTTTACCTTTGTCAGCTTCTGACTGTGTTGTTTGTTAACTTGGGGTTTCTGAAAGTTGTATTGGCTGTTCAGGGGCTGTCTTCTGATTGAACAGGACTTTTAATAACAACCAGCTTTTCATCAGGGAGATGAGAGATGGGAGTTGGGAAATCTGTGATCCCATTTCCACCCGGAAAGAGCCATGTTGCCATTTCCGTAGAGACCAGCAACTTTTTGGTTTAGAATCTGAAAGTCCAATACTCACTAAAAGAATGAAGCCTTAAGGTTCACAGGTTAAATCAAAAGAACTTAAATCACACAAAAAAATCAGAAAATAATAAATGCACACCTTCTTAAGACATGAGGGGCAACTTGATCTAATTTGATTTGATTTATTGTTGTCACATGCACTTAAGTACAGTGAAAAGTTTTGTTTTGCATTAAGTACAGGCAGATCATAGCAAACAAGGACATCCAGATCATAGGGTGGGGGGTAGTAGCAACTGCCAATGCTGGACAATACTCTCTCCAACCGCTTCCATCAGGGAGAAGATACAGAAGCTTAAACACATGCACCAATAGGTTCACGAACAGCTTCTTCCCGGCTGTTATTGGACTGCTGAATGGACCTCTCGAACTTCAAACCTAATGTTGACATTACGTTTATACACTTCCCGTGCAGCCATAACCCGTATGCCTCACTCTGTCTAGGCACTGTATGATCTGAGATAACACAGTGCAGAGCTGGAGGAACGCAGCAGGCCAGGCAGCATCAGAGGAGCAGGAAAGCTGACGTTTCGGGTCTGGACCCTTCTTCAGAAATGGGGGAGGGGATGGGGATTCTGAAATAAATAGAGAGAGAGGGGGAGGTGGATGGAAGATGGGTAAAGGAGAAGATAGGTGGAGAGGAGGCGGACAGGTCAAGGAGGCGAGGATGGAGCCAGTAAAGGTGAGTGTAGGTGGGGGCTGGGGTGGAGGAGTGGATAGGTGGAAGGAAGGACAGGTTAGGGAGGCAGGGACAAGCTGGGCTGGTTTTGGGATGCAGTCGGGGGAGGGGAGATTTTGAAGCTTGTGAAGTCCACATTGATACCATTGGGCTGCAGGGTTCCCAAACGAAATATGAGATGCTGTTCCTGCAGCCTTCGAGTGGCATCGTTGTGGCACTGCAGGAGGCCCAGGATGGACATGTCGTCCAAGGAGTGGGAGGGGAAATTGAAATGGTTCGCGACTGGGAGGTGCAGTTGTTTGTTGCAAACCAAGCATAGGTGTTCCACAAAGCAATCTCCAAGCCTCCGCTTGGTTTCCCCGATGTAGAGGAGGCCACATCGGGAACAGCGGATACAGTATACCACATTAGCAGATGTGCAGGTGAACATCTGTTTGATGTGGAAGGTTTTCTTGGGGCCTGGGCCCGGGGTGACAGGGGAGGTGTAGGGGCAGGTGTAGCAATTCCTGCGGTTGCAGGGAAAGGTGCCGGGGGTGGTGGGGCTGGTGGGGAGTGTGGAGCGGACAAGGGAGTCCTGGAGAGAGTGGTCCCTCTGGAAAGCAGATAAGGGTGGGGAGGGAAAAATGTCTTTGGTGGTGGGGTTGGATTGCAGATGGCGGAAGTGTCGGAGGATGATGCGTTGGATCCGGAGGTTGGTGGCGTGGTACGTGAGGACGAGGGGGATTCTGTTTTTGTTGTAATTGCGGGGAGGGGGTGTGAGGGATGAGTTGCGGGAAATGCGAGGGACACAGTCGAGGGCATTTTCGACCACTGAGGGGAGGAAGTTGCGGTCCTTGAAAAACGAAGACATCTGGAATGTCGGGAGTGGAATGCCTCATCTTGGGAGCAGATGCGGTGGAGGTGAAGGAATTGGGAATAGAGGATGGCATTTTTGCAGGAAGGTGGGTGAGAAGAGGTAACTGTGGGAGTCGGTGGGCTTGAAATGGATATCGGTTTCCAGGTGGTTGCCAGAGATGGAAACAGAAAGGTCCAGGAAGGAGAGAGAGGTATCGGAGATGGTCCAGGTGAACTTAAGGTTGGGGTGGAAGGTGTTAGCAAAGTGGACGATCTGTTCGAACTCCTCGTGGTTATGGCTGCACAGGAAGTGTGTAAAAGTAATGTCAACGTTAGGTTTGAAGTTAGAGAGGTCCATTCAGCAGTCCAATAACAGCGGGGAAGAAGCTATTTGTGAACCTGTTGGTGCATGTGTTTAAGCTTCTGTATCTTCTCCCTGATGAAAGAGGTTGGAGAGAGTATTGTTGAGGTAAGAGGGAGAGTGGTTCCTGTGTGGAGTGAACTTCCACAGAAAGTGGTGGATGTGAGTTCAGTTGCAATGTTTAAAAGAAATTTGGATAAATATATGAATAGGGAAGATTTGGAGGGATATGGGCCAAGCACAGGCAGGTGAGACTGGTTCAGTTTGGGATTATGGTCAGCATGGACTGGTTGGACTGAAGGGTTGGTTCCCATGCTGTATAACCCAATGATGCTACAGTAAAAATACACTGAACTCAGTTCCTTATAACCTGTACTTTATTTCTGTCTTTCTTCATCTGTTTTACTTCCGCACCATTTGAGGTGCTTCCAAATAACTGAAATCAGATACTTATCAAAAATTGGAAAATTAACCATTTGATTTGAGTTTTAAAGTTTGTACATTGTTGAAAGATTTCTTGTGCCTCTGTTTATATGCAAGGACGCCCCTTTAATTCTCTTCCAAATGTCCCCCAGTTTCAGATTCCCAGTTCAATGTAGGTGTCTCTAGGGTCTTAAACATAGCACTGCAGATCAAAGATCTAATATTCTTTAACTCTGGAGATTTAAAATCCAAATATTCTTCCATCACTTGGCTAAAGGAAATTCTGTTAGTTAGAGATGGGCAATAAATGCTGGCTTGACTAATGAGGCCCGCATCTCTGACTGAGTAGTTAAAAATCTGATTATCAGAACTTCATTGAGAAGTTACACTCCTTAAGCCACAGCATCAGAAAAGTCGACTGAACTCTGTTCAAGAGCAATTCTGTAGTCTGCTCATTTTCTATCTTTAAAACTAGACTGCTTGAATATAGAACAGGACCTCCCTGCAATAATACATAATGCTGATCATCTTTTTCCTTTATTGTTTATCTTCCAGGCAACCTGGTCACACAATCAGGTGAAACACCAAGCATCACTTTTAGTGAATTATACTTCTTAAAGGATTGTCAAATCAAACAAAATATTGGTGTTTACCACTAAAACACATAGAATGTCACAATACCCCTCCTTGCCCATTCACAGAGTATGTACTAACTACACAATCAATGTGCTGATTAACAGCACTAACAAATATTTGAAATATTTGAAATGCTCAAGAATTTTTTTAAAAAAAGCCATTCAAAATTCCCTTCCTACTGCTCATAAATCTGTCAATCAAGCACAGGCAATGAAAGTCACTCTGAAGAAATCTTAAATCCATTTCACACTTCTTACACTTAGGGTCATAGAGTCATTGCGTCATACAACTGTACAGCACAGAAACAGACCCTTTGGTCCAACTTGTCCATGCCCAACAGATATCCTGAATTAATCTAGTCCCATTTGCCAGCATTTAACCCATATCTGTCTAAATCCTTCTATTCATATACCCATCCAGATGTCTTTTAAATGTTGTAATTGTACCAGCATCCACAACTTCCTCTGGTACCTCATTCCATACATGCACCACCCTCTGCATGAAAAGGTTGTCCCTTTTAAATCTTTCTCCTCTCACCTTAATCCTATTCCCTCTAGTTTTAGACTCCCCTACCCTGAGAAAAAGACCTTGGCTATTCACCCTATCCATGCCCCTCAAGTTTTTATAAACATCTATAAGATCACCCCTCAGTTTCCCCTCCAGGCAAAGTAGCCCCAGCCTATTCAGCCTCTCCCTATAGCTCAAACCCTCCAACCCTGGCAATATCATTGTAAATCTTTTCTGAACTCTTTAGGTTTCACAACAAGCTTCATATAACAGGGAGACCAGAATTGAATGTAATATTTTGTTCAAATAATTTCAAATGGCAATGAAAGGTGGCTTTATTTTTCTTTGTGATGGTTAGAAGGTAATACAGCTGTCAACCAGTAAATACAACAGCACTCTTTCAAACTGTGTAAAAACTCCTGTTGGCCTAAGTGTATTAGACTTTATTTTTGGACCTCAGCCAGGAGTTCATAATGAGGCCATAATTCTTTAAATATACATTTGTGGGATATGGGTATCACTGGCTGGGGCAGCATTTATTGCTCATCCCTAATTCCCCTTGAGAAGATGTTTGGTGGAAACTGCCTTGTGAACTGCAGCAATCCTTGGGAAACAATGCACCCATATGTCGATAGAGAGGGAGTTCCAGGATTTTGACCCAGTGACAATGTAGGAATGGTGATATATTTCCAAGTGGTTGGAGGAGAACTTGCAGAGGATGAGTGTTTCCATGCACTTGCTGCCTTTGTCCCTTCCAGCTGGTAAAAATTGGAAGGTTAGATGATGCAGTCAAAGAAGCTGTTATGGGTTGCTACAGACATCCTG